ACTACCGTCCGGTCAGCCTCACGTCGATACCAGGCAAGATTCTGGAAAAGATTGTTAAGGAAGTGGTCTGCAAACACTTAGAAACAAATGCGGTCATTGCTAATAGTCAACATGGATTTATCAAAAACAAGTCATGCCAGACTAATCTGATCTCTTTTTTCGATAGAGTTACAAGCTGGGTAGATGCGGGGAATGCCGTGGATGTAGCGTACCTGGATTTCAGTAAGGCCTTCGACAAGGTCCCCCATGACCTTCTGGCAAGGAAACTAGTCCAACGTGGGCTAGGCAAAACTACGGTGAGGTGGATCTGTAATTGGTTAAATGGACGAACCCAGAGGGTGCTCACCAATGCTTCCTCTTCATCTTGGAAAGAAGTGACGAGCGGAGTGCCGCAGGGTTCCGTCCTGGGCCCGGTCCTGTTCAAGATCTTTATTAATGACTTAGATGAAGGGTTAGAAGGCAGGATCATCAAGTTTGCAGACGACACCAAATTGGGAGGGATAGCCAATACTCCAGAGGACAGGAGCAGGATTCAAAACGATCTTGACAGATTAGAGAGAGGATGGGCCAAAACTAACAAAATGAAGTTCAACGGGGACAAATGCAAGATACTCCACTTAGGCAGCAAAAACGAAATGCAAAGAGACAGAATGGGGGACAGTGCCTGGCTCGAGAGCAGTACGTGTGAAAAAGATCTTGGAGTCCTCGTGGACAACAAGTTAACATGAGCCAACAATGTGATGTGGCGGCAAAAAAAGCCAATGGGATTTTGGCCTGCATCAATAGGAGCATAGTGTCTAGATCAAGGGAAGTAATGCTACCCCTCTATTCTGTTTTGTTTAGACCACATCTGGAATATTGTGTCCAGTTCTGGGCACCACAATTCAAGAGAGATATTGACAAGCTGGAATGTGTCCAGAGGAGAGCGACTAAAATGATAAAAGGTCTGGAGAACAAGCCCTATGAGGAGCGACTTAAGGAGCTGGGCAAGCCACAGGGAGGAGGGAGCAAGCTTATTTTCTGCTTCCTTGGAGACTAGGACGCGGAACAATGGCTTCAAACTACAAGAGGAGATTCCATCTGAACATGAGGAAGAACTTCCTGACTGTGAGAGCTGTTCAGCAGTGGAACTCTCTGTCCTGGAGTGTGGTGGAGGCTCCTTCTTTGGAAGCTTTTAAACAGAGGCTGGATGGCCATCTGTCAGGGGTGATTTGAATGCAATATTCCTGCTTCTTGGCAGGGGGTTGGACTGGATGGCCCATGAGGTCTCTTCCAACTCTTTGATTCTATGATTCTATGATTCTATGATATGTCTGACAGATAATAAATCAGTTTGATTTCATAAGAATAGCTAACCAACAGGCTAACCAACAGATCATCCACCTGGAAGATAAAAAAAATCAGAATGCCATGAAAAAATTCCTTCCTTGACACCAAATGCAAACACCAATTGCTTGAAAAGGAGCAGCAACTTAGTGTGTATCCTATGTCTGGCCACCAAATGTAGGTCAGTGTATAGAAGTATCAGCCCCACTGTGACCAAACTATTATTGCAGCCAGAGACTTAGGGGCTGTGGGGACAATTTGGATGGTTTCCAAATGGAAGTGGTTGCAACTATCCCCCCTGGCATCTTGCATTTCCCAGGCTTTGGTAGAACAGGGACACAGGATGACAATCCCCTTCCCCACCCACTCTGGCTTGCCGTGGTCTCTGTCCATGTCCTCCACCCTACTTTTTTGCCTACCTGCTGTGACATCAGCTGTTGTGGCAGAGTGTTCTCGGAAGGGGGGGGGGGAGAGAAGGGGGTTAAACAGGTATGACCCAAGTTGTGGTCAGGAAGTGGGGGGGGGGGGGGGACAATTAGGGTAGCTATCCTGGGGGAATCTCTGTGAACCATCCCATATTTTCCCCTGCTATGGGATGCGAGCTGGTAGAAACAGATTAGTTCCTTTTAGGAGAAAGGAGAAAAAGATATACACTGTTAGGTCAATTTACCTCTCATCTAATTTTGATATATGGTGAGCTAGATTAATCCTGAAACTATTATTCCTTGAATTCATGTGTAGTAACTTTTCTATATGCTACAGTATAATGTACACAGCATGGTTTTATTGCTTCTTTTCTTTTGTTAAATTTGTGGTACATGCTGTGTTCTGCAAACTTTTTAATGCAGAGGCAGTAACAGTTTTATGATCATACTTTACAGTATTAATGCTGCCACTGAAAAAGTCATATTTGCACAATGTAGTACAGTTGAATGTATTATAAATTGGGCTGTGGTAACTGAATGGCTTGATTGGCCAATAAGAATTCCATGCTGTTCCTGCAGTTTGCACAATTCACCGGCCTTGTAAAACAGAGAGCAGTGGATTGCATTGATTGTAGTCACAGTTCAGAACTCTTGACATTACACTTTAATTAACATATAAATATTTAAAATTAGCATTTTATAATCACAATGGTATTATAAGAATGTAACATATTATACTCCATCTAGTTCACAGAAAAATTGAAGCTACTCAAACGTTAATAGAATACAGTTCCCACCCATTTTATTGTGTTTGGAAATAATATTAAAGAAATATATAAGATATTATTTTCATTATCATGCAGTTTTCATAAGCAGCCCAACCAGCTCTTGCTAGATGGACTTTTGAGCCAATCTTTCTAAGTGAATGTTTAATGTTGCCATCACTAGCTGGTTGTTTTAGTAGATGTTAATGACTCTGCACTAGCTGTTGGCTTCCAAGGCAATGGCAAAAGGACAGATGACATGTCTTCTTTTAACAAACCTACTTGTATCATAGTAGGTTTGATCTTGACTTCATGTGAAAATCCAGGTTTTAGGATTCGCTATTAATCTATTTTTCATCCATTTTGAATTCTGTGTAATGCCTTTTTATGATAGTGTTACTTTGGTGCTGTTAGAATGTAGTAGCAATGTGTATTCCATTTCTAGACCCACAAAACAAGCAATTATGTTTTTATTGGGCTCCTAGTAGATTGTGTTTGGCCTAGTTTGGTGGATCACACATGCTACAAGCCCAAACTGACATTAATTATGCTTGCAAATTTTGATGAGCAAAAATGCTCCCTGTTTTTCATGAACATTGTTTTTGTAATGTTGAAATAATATTCTGATATTTCAATTATGTCTACTAATATTAATTTACTGTCCTCTGTGTTTTTTTTGTACAAGTTGTTTATGTTTTTTGTTTTCTTTTTTGCAAATAATATCACTGCATACATAAATCTGATTGGATACTTATTATAGTGGTGTCATCTACATTCACTGTGTGATCCCTGATAGTCTGGGAAAACCTGTGTAACTTATTCAGGAGACATTGCCCATATCTCATTTAATCTCAGTGACACAATTATAGGCTTGAATTTGATTGGATAAAAAACTCCACAATCATATAACTTCTGTGTCTTTACTTGTTATTTGCTCTGGACATCTAGATGGGTAGGCCTTTTTTTTTTTAAAGGTACTGTATTCCAAAAGCCTTACTGTTCAAGCATATAGCCCTGTCCCTGTATGTCTCCTTCCATCCATCAAAGAGCCTTATTTTAAGAAACTAGGCATCAACAGGTTTCTTTTCAAATGGTTTTTGCTGTTGTTGTTGGTATGAATAAGAATGTTGAATAAAAAAACCCTTAATCTCTCTGTCGGAATAAAATGTTTTTTGTTGAGCTGGAAATGGCCTTTGACTATTCTGTGAAAAGGGGGATATCATGTGGATATTGACACCCCCCCCCCAAATAGCTACAGATAGAGCAGCTAACAGGAAACATTTCCTGATTGTTTTTGTTCTAAGATGTTTTGCTTTATTTGATCCTACTTAGTGTCTTTTAAAAGTATTTCCTGTGAATACGTATTTCCCATTGTTAAACTGGTGAGAAAAAGTTAGAGACTTTTGAAAATGGAAAACTATTTCACATGTTTATTAAGCTATAGTGAGTTGAAAATAAATTGAATAGAGATTTACTTTTGACTTTCTTTAAGAACAAAGCTAAGTGAACCCGACAGTGATGATTCTACATTCTGATATAAAATGGCAGGCATCAATCAAATGTAGGTGACAACATATTCAAAAGCTACTTATGTGCTTTGAGAGCAAGCATAAAATAAAAATACATATCACATAATTTATTTGGTAAATGTGACCTCGTTTTCCAACTGATTTGTTTAGGATCCATTCACACTTTTTGGTTATGTTACACTGATGTTCAAGCTATGATCTGAATATCTTTAGAGTCTTAATTTTTTATTAAAATACAGATGATTAGAATAGCCTTTTATTTACCAGGGACATTGTGGAAACCAAGAGTCTGAAACCAAGAGTAGACACTTCTAAAATCTCATCCCCAAACCATTGAGAAGCATCTCTAGGCTTATCTGAACTAGGAGTACTGTACCATAGGAATATTTACATTCATGCAGAAGCATCTTGTGCACTTGTTTAAACACAGTGCTAAATGTATAGAGAGAACCTTGGAGAGGATACATATATTCTTTATACCATTAAGTGTTTTTCCAACTCTTGTTTGGTTTCAAGCCTAGAATTTTTTTATTGCCCATGAACTCCATATGGGTTTCCTTGCTTGAAACATCACAATATGGGACATTTGGTAAAAATATAATTGTGCTTAACAGCTAGGAATTAAGAGTAGGAAGTTGATGTTTCTCGGCTTGCTCATCAGGAGACTTATCTCTGATCCCATCACTTTTGTGTTACATTATAACACAGGGAGAAAAATTAAAGGATTCAAGCAACATTTTTGATAGTGGTTTATTTTAGCATGAGCTTTCATGGATATAATTCCTCTTCAGCTACTCATGCTCTGCTGCCCAGTCATAATCATTCCACACATGTGAAAAATGCTATCCTAAAATGAAAGGCAGAATGGAATACAAAGAGAGATGGAGGAGATTAGGGATGTATATCCAGAATCATAACATAAAACAGACTTCCTCTTCCTTCCTATTTCAAAATAGGTTATGCGGTGCCGCACCTTTTATAGCAGGCTCTGAAGAAAAACTTTTTGAAGTTATAAAAAAAGGAGATCTTCAATTTAAGCACTCAGTCTGGCAATCGGTCAGTGAAGCTGGTAAGTAGACAGTTGCATTACAGAAACAGACAAAAGCCCTACTGGCATGAAATGCTTTTTTGTTTTTGCAATATTTTGATCTCTTTAGCAGTTAACTAGTTTGTTTTCCCATAAATGTAGAAGTGATGTTAAGAAAGACTCCAATACAGTTGCCAAGTATTAGTTTCACATCATTAAAAGTAAAATATGCTGTTAGATTAAAGTACTTTGAGGAAACTGGGAGATGTGGGTGCTAACAGCTATGAGAAACGAGGCATATGAATGTCTCCCTTTACAGGTAAAAATGTGTTACAGCAACTGCTGAAAGTAGACCCTGCTCACAGATTCACTGCGAATGAACTGCTTGACTGCCACTGGATAACTGTAAGTTTTCATTCTATCTCCTTTTTAAAAATCTACTTATCTGGTAAACCTATTTTTTTCATGCTGGATTTAGAAAAAAGTCATATTACTTTTTATGCCAGGGTTTGCATACTACACTTGGAACAATATGAAGATGCCAAGGGACATGTCACATGCTATTAGTCTTGTATGAATGCAGACTATATTAATAACATTTGATACTTATGTTAATAATGCCTTAAGAAGTGCCTATGTATGTTCAATCTGTTTGTGGCAGAGAGCTATAAAAGAAATAGTAACAGTTGTACAAACAACTTTCATGGAAGATTTTAGTAAAAACGTTTTGATAAGGGAATGCAAGGGAGCAAACTAAGACTTTACTGATATGTACAGTATTGTGCATCATCTATGTTTGTTAAGATCTTTGCAAATTTAATTTTCAGAAATTCTGAGATCCAAACTCAATACAGTAGGTAGGAGACTGTGGCCTTTGGTGTAATCTCAAAAGCCTCCTGCAGGTGACCAGTTACGACTCTTTGGAAGATTTATCTGTCTCTCCTTGTGCAATTTGTCAACTGAGAGAAAAAGAGAGAGATGGAAATAAAGAAGAATAGCAGAAACAGAGAAAGAGGGATGGTCTTTTGTTTCTTACTTTCCCTTTCCCTTGCATTGGTTGATGAATCTCAGCAGATTGATCTCCAAGGAATGCATCCCCGTCAGCAAGTTTTCCCATCCCTACGCTACATCATGATTACATGTTCAGCCCCACTGAAAACCAAAACAGGATTCTAACTTTTGCCATGACAGCTAAGGTGGTTTCAAAATGTCCAAAGGTATAGTCCTGAAAGTGGTTTATCATGTAGAGGATTCTACTGTGCTAAAAAAAATTAACCCCTTGATGCCAAATGTCATATAATGCTCTTCAGGCTTGATACATGTGGCACTGAATTGTCCCATTAGGAGACTATACTACCATTACCAAAAAGTTATAAAGCACAAGATATCATTCTACATAATTAAATGTGGCAGTAAAAAAAATTAAATAAAAAGTGGCATAGTGCATTCTAAATAAACAATCAAGGGCACAGTCCATTAGGGAAATCCACACTCTTCATTTACATGGTGTTCATAGAAAATTGTTATCCAAAGTAGTTGTCTTACTCACATGCAAAGTCCAATCCAGTGCATGTTAGACTCACTCTATTCAGCTGGACAAATTGTCATTAAGCATGTACCAAATTTGCCAAATTTTTGTGAGGACATGTCCTTTGAATTTTTGACAGCTTAGTGTTTGTAGACACTAATGCATTTCTCTGGTGCTTCAAGGAGGGAATGGGGTTTCTTTATTTTGTTTAAGACCAATATATGTTTTGTCTTAATATTAGCAAACATTTTGCTTCCACATGTTGTTTCTTATTTGGAGTTGATGGAGTATTTTGCCACTAGTACATACATCTATCCACCTTTCCCAGTTTGAGTGCTGTATTTTCAGCACTATTGGGAGCCTTCTCACTTGTTTCCCCCCAGATTTCCTATTGGCCATATTTTTGATCTGAGTATATAAATGATTACGTCTGTTTGTGTGTGTGTTTGTGTGTTCCCTTTCTTACAAATTGTTTACCAATTAATAATTTAGCATTCCCACGTAGTTGCAGTTATGTAAATACTTTTGAATGTATCAGTTACACACTTGATATCATACTTTTTCAGATTATTAGTTTATGAACAGCTTCTTCTTTCATTTTGAGCAAAATTGTCAAGAAATCTTTATTCCCTTTGGGTGCTGGGGTGTAGGAGTATTGCCATTCAGAACAGAATCTACTAGAAATCACAAAGTGGAAAATGTGTTTTTAACATATGCTGGGTGCCACATGATGGAGAGGTGAACTATTTCATTCTGTGCTTTGAATCTCACTGATGTGTGCTCCCTTAAAATCTGAAGTAAAAAAAGCTTGAAGGAAAGACAAAAGAAAATGAAACAATCTAAAAGGCAACCAATTAGTAATCCTCCACTTTCCCTACAATTAGCACCAGATGCTAGCCAATTAAACTCAACAGGTGTTCAAATGAGGCAATATAGACAATTAACTTAAGTGGTTCCACTTTCTTAAAAACTGTCAGAACACAACCACCCTTCCATTTCATGTGCTATTTAAGTATTTGTAGCTCTTTAAAACATAGGGTTTTTTTTCCTGAGGCCACAACTCAGCCTCTTATTTTGTAGGTGTGATTTGGTGCACTTAGAAATTTAATTACCTGAATGTGCTTGCAAATAAGGTAGTTATTTGGATGTCTACAACATCAATTTGTCTAAAGTTAATTACAGATGTAAATTTGCACCTGCAGAATTGGAGTCCACATTGGGAAATCATTCTATAAATTTGGAAGGACTGTGAATACATTACCTTGATTCATGTATAATTAATTCCCCCTCTGCATGTCTGTCTCATCCTAGCAATAAGTGCTAAAAAGCACACATATGTGTACATGTACTACAGGAAGACAAAAACTGAGTTTACTGATAGAGGCAATACAAACTAGTGGTGGAAAACAGGACATGAGTTACAGTGATCTGAATTTGTCTTGCTGTAGATGGATGCATGGTATGGGTGAAATCTCATGTTTTTGTGCTTTCTGTGACACACATGACTTCTATGTTGATGTAGCTCAATACTAACATTCTAGCATTGAGTGTTGTTTTAGGGAGGACCTGCCACTGTTTACGCTGAAAGGATGCTCATGCTATTCCCTGTTTGGTTGTTGCAGCAACATTTGGAATATTATCTCTTTTTGAAGATTTTTGTCTGTCTTCACAACTTCTAATTGTTCTAATTTCTTCTATATTTTATTCTATAGTTATACATCTCCATTTAGCTATTAGATCTTCATTTGCTTTAGTCTTCAGGTGTCACCTTCAAATGCTCTTTGTGCATCCCAGTGAGTTATGGCCTTGAAGGTCTTGTCCAACCAATGTACCACTGTCAGAATAAGAAGCAGATGATCTCTATATAGGTGGGAACAAGCTCTGTCTAAATACTCTGTTTGGGAAGATTGTTGGTGCCCAGAGAATGAATGAAGAGATTAGGATTGCTACACTTATTACCACTCTTATCATATTTATCTCTCCCTTTACTGGACATGGTAGTTATTGGTTGTGAGCAGTATTTAGACTGCCCAATCTCAAACCAAATCATCCAAATCCTATAAAGCTACCTTGTGCTGGTTCCAGTATTTTGAATTTCCTTATGATATTTCCTATGTACCACTCTTTTTTTTAACTTCTTTTACAGTGGTGGCATGCCAGCAAGGCCTTTTTCCTTTCAAGCCCAACATCACAAACAGTTTCTGTAATTATAACCATACCACCAACTGTTTTGGTAATGCTTCTGCCTTTGATATAGGCCAGTGGTTCCAAGCCTTTGGTCCTCCAGGTGTTTTGGACTTCAACTCTCAGAAATTCCAGCCAGTTTACCAGCTATTAGGAATTGTGGGAGCTGAAGTCCAAACCACCTGGAGGACCAAAGGTTGGGAACCACTGATATAGATATTAACATACAATGATATAGTTGCTCTAATGCCTAGCTGGAGTGCTGACATAGCCACTTTTCAGAAAGGCCATCAGTTCCTTAGTAGCCGTGAGTGGTGAATACTTAGTTCTGATGTTTTGTGGAATATGAATATGATCAGGATTATTATTCTGAATCCTCCTCATTTTTTTCCATCAGTCACACCTATCCCTTTCCCAGATGTAGAATTAGATGACCAGGCACCAGTACATCTGTCCAGTAAAGGTTTTAGTATCCCTTACCTGGAATTCCATAATCCAAAATGCTCCAAAGTCTAAAATTGTTCTCATGGGTAGAGATAGTGACACTTTTGCTTTCTAATGGTTCAGTGTACATAAACTTTCTTTCATGCACAAAATTATTAAAACTAATGTGCATCAAATTATCCAGACTGTAAATGTATGTGAAGCACACTGTGGTTTGTTGTCATAGACCCATAGAATAAGCTATTTTGTATGCTTTGTACCACTTTGAATATAGAGAGGCTATTTAATGTGTCTGAAGGCTATTTCATGTAATGTGAGTGTGGACTTTTATTTAAATAACCAGACCTCCGCTTCATAATTGTGGAGGCCTCACAAAGCAAATGGTGGTACAGACCTTCACGTTAGTTGAGGATAAAAACGTATGCACCATAGTTCTTTCTTCAACTACATGACATCTCTTATGACCTGTTTCAGAGAACTGAAAAATGACAAATGTTTGTTTTGTTGTTCATAATTTAAAAGCAAATACTGAATTCACTGTTCCTGTTTAGGGTGAAACAGACGTTGTTCAGAGGCAATTTAATGTCCTGGAATTGATGAAGAAGTGGAATAAGAGTTCCAGCACCGAGGGTGGAGAAGCAAGCATTTCTGAAGGTGAACTAAATGGCTCATCAACCACTACCCAACAGGATGAAATCTGTAAAGGCCAAAACAGTCCTGTTAGCAGCAATGGCAACTCAGATCATAATATTGACACAGAAACAGAAAGTGGGAGCAGCAAACCCTCAACACCAACAAAACAAGTAAAAGTTTACTGATCATTGTTCAATTAAATACAGTAAACAAGACAATAGCATAGAATAGGGCTGATTTGTCTTAGAATCAAATTTTGTACATCACAGAGATTTCTTTTTGTTTTTCTTGTATTATGTACTCTGTTTCAAACCAGTTTTATGTTTATTCTTTTTTTCAGACTAGCAAGAAAAAACATACTAATGCTTTACAAAATGGGACATTTAAGAAGAAAAGTTCATCTAACAGATCAACTTACAGTGTAAGCACATTTACAAAAAGATCCTCACCCCCACCCCTCCTGTTAGGGTCAGTTTAATCGTATTGGCTTCTCTCCCCATTTAACCACCTTAGCTAGAATATATATCCAGCATTGCTCAGGTTTGCATTTTCTTTGTGGCAATTTTTCCTCCTTTTTCCTCATGCACCTTGTTTCTTCCTTCCTCCCCCCCCCCCCTTGTTTTCTTTTATATGGCTTTTTGTTAGAAGTCGCTGTCTCTTAGAGAAATGCACAGGCACACACATACACCTTCCAATATATAAATCTTAATTAAATTGTTTATTTCTTGATTGTGTGGATGTCTTAGCTGTGGCCTTCAGGGCTGTGTTGAAGGCCTTATAGTACGGTCATTTTGCCTTCTGAGCACTTCATACATACATACCTATAGGCCAGAAGCTAATCTTTTCTATCTATATATTGCAATTTTTAACTTTTTGGGGCCCTCACCCCAAAACGAGATGATTTTAAGTTGGGTATATGCGCCAAGTTTGGTCCAGATCCGTCAAGTGATGTAGGAGCCTTTATGGTACAAATCAACCAACAACATATGTGTTTTGACTTTTATATATATAGATATGATAAAAACCCCAACTTGAATCATGTGGAAGTATTTTTAAATTAGCTTCCTTAACTTAGTATGCCAAATATATTGACATTGTTTTCCCCAGACAGTGTGAATCCCTCATTTTCAATGAGAAAAAGTTCCACCATCATGGCATACTTGGAGACTACCCATGAGCGGATGCTGTATAATACAAATAGCACATTTGTGTGAACAATGGGGCATCCAGACAGCCCTTTAGAAGTGAGAGTTCCTGTTCCTTTAAAAGGGGCATCCAGATGATGTTCCAGAGAAAATTGAGTGCATTCAGCACAAAGGAGGAAAACTCTCCTTTGTCCCGAGATTATTTGTTAGCTGGAAAAACGCGGGTATTCAAAAGAACTGTGTCTTTCCAGTTGAGGGGGCTGTGTGGATTGGGTCCAGAGAATGCGTTGCACAAATTCCAGTCCCAATCAACACAGCTGACTTGGGATTTTTGGGATGCTGAAGCCCAAGAAATCCAAGACAGCCCCCACCCTTTCCAAAGCTCCTTTAAAAAGCCTTTTAAAAAGCAAAACAACTCATCAGGCCTCCATTTTCCCTTCTTTGGCCCTCTCCTGGTTCGTACCAATGACACACCTGGAAAAGGGGGTGAGGAGAAAATTTGCTCCTGCCCCCCTTTTCTAGACCCAGAAGAGGGCTGAAGAAGGGAAAATGGAGGCCTGGTGAGTTATTTTGCTTTTTAAAAGTCTTTTAAAGGCATTGTATTTTCTATCCAGGTACCCTCTTGGAAGGCCTAGCAGAGCATCTGGACACCCACTCCAGAAAGCACGCACTTTCTGGGGTGTATGTTGACTAGAAGCCGGGAACTTGCACACTTTTAAAACACAATTGTTCCCGGTTTATCCTGCTGTCTGGAAACACCCAGAGTTTAGCTATTTGTCTACTGCTTGTTCTGTATATTCCCAGGACACTAGTAACTGTGGTAAACGACTTAAAGTTCTGAACTAAAAAAAGGGTAGAATAATAAAAATTATCATCATCAACATCAGCAACATCATCTGAAACATTTAGATAATGTTTAATTTTATTTATTGGGTTGTAATTTATACAGAAATATTCAGCATTTGTGATTTGTAATCATTTGATAAACAACTGCTTCCTTATTTTTAGTAGCAGTTATTGGTGCAGAACTTCCCTTGCTGATGTCTTTGCAGATATGATAGTTTTTGCTTCTAGAATAGGAAAAGTGAACTATATAAGGTCCATGACAAATATTTCCAATTTATTTCCCACATGGATGAATGCCAAAGTCTTACTGTTCACTCCCACAACTTAACTAATTTGTTCAATACACTATTGTCTGCTTGTACTCATGAGTTCTGTTGTTTGTTCTAAAGATACAGAGTGGTGGATCCGGGCCATTGTCTCCAGGATCAATCACAAGGCGGAGTCTGGATAATCAAGAGAAGAAAATGGAAACGGAAAAATCTTCTTCATTTTTGAGTCAGGGATCATCTAGCAAAAGTACATCAAAACCAATTGTCCCTAGTGGCCTGAACAAAACGAAAAAGAAATCTTAAGGAGAAAGACATCTACTCAGATTGCAGTTCTTATGAAGTCACTATTGTTGGTGCCAAAATATGGCAAATGTATTGAAAGGACCAATGTATCCTAAATTCTAATTATTATTTTTGTTTCGAGACTTATCATCATTAGATGCAATAGCCTCACAATAGTCCTGTTAAAAGTGTGGATTCCTAAGCTATATGACGGCATCCACCGATAGTAATCTTTTCAGAGCACAGAAGTGTGTCAAAATCTGGTTTTTATTTATTGTAGACTAGTGTGCAGCATTTGGGCAAGAAACTAGTTTCTTTTAATTCATTGCTATGTTTTGTTAAAGGTTTTCTAGTATTGTCACAAAGATTTGTGAGAGGAGGAAATGAAAAGCCAAATCTTTGATGACTAAATGATGTGTGTTTTTGTGTCTTTGTGTTTTAATAACTGTGCATTTTGCACCTCTAAGAATTTGTTATGAGTTTGCTTATACATTTGTAGACATTATAACCCACCTACTAAAGCTAAGTGATTTTTTTTCTGATATTTTAATATCACAATAGTTTGTTCAAAGAATTTATTTTAAATACTTTTAGGTATTATTAGGTATTTTCTTACTGCTAAATTTTTTTTCATGCTTAAATTAACCAGAACTTAGAGAAATTATTTTCACATACTAGTTCATCTTCATTTGTAAATGAAATCTCAATTGTGTTGTGAAAGAAATGTTAAATGTTGATGTCATATGATTTAATTTAGAAATAATGCCTTCTTTTGTTAAAATCCTGTTTTCACATTATGCTTGGAGGAATACACGATTTGACTGTAAATTATCCAGGCTGTTAGGCTAAATATTTCTATTGTGGTTTGATCCATTTCGTTCTTTCAAATATGTTTATATTGTTTTGAAAAATGTAAAAAATCTGTTTTTGTCTTCCTGTAGTTTCAAGCAGTCCTACTTACACGTGTAAAGATAATCTGTTACCTCTGTGGGCCTGTGGCTTGTATGGTACAGATTGTATGGTTTTTCCCCCTTTCCCTTTGAAGGTGACTCTTTGAGTCAGTGTTGAGGACCCATTGTGCCAGTGGTAGGCTGCGGATAGGTTTCTTCACCCTGGTTCCTACCAGTGTCATAATTGACATAACTTGTTATTTAAGATGACTTTGCAAAGATTTCTTGAGGCATTTTAAAGTTTTTCAAGTAGTGGTACTTTGGATGTTCTAAATACCATTTGTATGTCTTAAATAATTCTGTATGTGCATTTAAATCTTTTGACATTTGAACTGTTTCTAATATGATTGGGTATTGAGAGAATGCCTTTGTCTATATGAAATAAATAGATCTATTCGTGTTAATTTCATATGAAAAATTAAGTGCTTTTTTACAAGAATATAACGTTTTCATTAAGCTGGAGAAATAATTGTTCATGTGAATGCAACAGAGCTGAATTTTGTAACAATTTATGTTCAGAAGTACTTCTCTTGAACTTACACCGCCATCCTGCGATCCACATTCAGGCTATTCTCAACAAAGCCTCGTTCTGGATAGTGGATCTGACAGTTTCTCTAGTTTGATATAAAACGGGCAGAGTCTTTTAGAAAGTCCATCCAGCTTTCTGATTCTCCTGACAGAAGCACAATAGGTCCTTTTTGTCCTAAAAGAGCAGATCTAGTTAGCTATTAACTCTCAGCGCTAGTTCTTTCCCTTTAGTGAGACAGTTGCTTGAAGGGTATGTCAGGACTTGCTCTATTAGAGTGGCAGAGGCATCATTAGCCACCCTCAGGTCAGTCCTACCTGATCACAGCACTTGCTTAGCTGCAAACCGACTATATAGTGTTAAGGGTGACTTCATTTTGTGTTCAAATAAGTTCTTGGGTATTGTAAATGGAATTTTGTATGAGCCAAGCTGACATATACGATGCCCTCTCTCTTTTGTACCATAGGCCTGTGAATGTGTAGAATTTTATGTAAACGGAGCATATCGGTAAATTTCCCTCATGAGTAGGGTGATTTATTTGCTTACTGTGAGTGTGCAAACAATTGCTTGGATGTTTCAGTAATACATTCAATAATTCATTGCTTCCAGCATTCTGCTTTTACCTCCCTATCGAAGATGGTCTCCCTTTACAATGACTACAGTCTTGGTGTACAAGTTAGGAAGTCCAAGTTCAAATTTCCACTTATCTCGGAAGCTGACTGGGATGACCTTTGCATGTTATTTTATGTCTCTTGTCTCACAGGTTGTTGTTGCAGGGTCCTGGGGTGGAAGCTTGAAACCAGCTCAACTTCTGTCCCTAAAAAGTTTTTTAAAAAAATCCCAGGACACTTTCATATTGTAATGGCATCTTGCCTATGCTAATGCTAGTATAAGTGGCTTGTCAGAAACACCACTGGGAAAACTGAAGGAAAGTGCCTGATCTGACAAAGCCTTAATCAACAGCAGTCTGATCCTTTAAAAATGCAATACGATTTCATTTGTTCAGCCTATCTACATGAAAATTTGATAGATACAATCACCTTGAAGAATGTTTCAAATATTAATGCTATGTAGAGACACAACAGAGAACCTTTCTACTTATGTATAAAAGGGTCTATGAATAGCACAAGTAGTTTGCACATACAGTAGTTTTGTTCTACACCAAGATTTTATTAATGGATATTAGATCTATTTAAAGGAAGAACTGAAGCTGAATTTTATAAAGTTGCTTCTGTGTGAGAAAGTGCATATGTATGAATGCATGCATGAATCTAAATATAGACGAGGCCACTGGAATATTTCTTGCTTGTCTGTGGATGTATGTCTGCATATGTACAACTTTGAAAGAGATGCAATTGTGAAAATATCAAAGAAACTGGCTATTGATGGTGTCTGTCACCTGTGATTCCCCAGAGTCAATAGCAATTATGTCCTAGGACTGAATTTTGTACATTCTGTAGTGCTTCCATTGTAACTCACCCGTTGTTGGAAAAGCCTGTGCTCTGTTAAGCTATGCTTTGAATTTGGTACTGGATATATCTGGACAGAAGAAAGCTATGTGTTAATATGTCAACTTTCTTACTTCGCCAATGTACAGAAAGTAGTGCTGTTTAAAATGTCAGTTCTAAAAGTTTCTGTAGATTTTCATCTGACTAGAACTGACAACTGCAGATACACATTTTGCTACAGCATTTTGTTCTGCTGCTGAATGATAAGAATGGTGGAGATTTACCCAGAAGGCTATGTGACACTGCAGTGGAGGCATGGAGACTACTACTACACCTGTGGTCTAAAAAGATGATGTTTTACATGGGTATTGCAACTAACTATATATCTGTGTTTGCCTGGTGCTGAAATAAGCAGCCCTTCATTTCTACTGCCACTTCATGGTGTCCTCTACTTACTTTTAAGCAGAAGAAACCTATTCCTTTCTGCAAAGTGGTCCATATCACCATTGTGTATATATGCTTGAAAATCGTGACCAGGTAATTATTGTGGTTCTATATAGCCTCATTCTTTTCTTCCCACGAATGTGCTTTCTAATTAGGAAAACGAAATTTGCATTAGTAGAACTACTATAAAAACATTCTGTCTGGAGAACACCCATTCTTGATAAGTAGAGTGATCTACAGTATTTTTAAAATATCAGATAGTGCCTTTGGCCCAAAAGATAAAGATTCTTAGTCTTTTGCAGTGATCAGATTTTGACTTCTCTTTGGCTAATAGAAATGTGAATGAATTTTCAATGTACTTGAGTTGCTTAACTAGACGATCATAACAGTTAACTTACTCCATCACGTTTTTGTCATTGCATGTAATTTCTAGTCCTGTCCTGGACACATTATCAAGATTTAATTTTATAGGGCCCAGGCCTAAGTCTCACAGCCATTGTGGAATGGCGGCATCAAATCCAGTTGTTACCATAGTAGAAAAAAGAAAGCAAAACTATGATGTGAATGTAGAATTATATTGGATTCCCATTGTATCACCCCTAACTGCATTTGGCATGCCTTAAAACCATGCCAAATACCATGCATGAAAGCATGGCAAAAGACAGATGATCATCTTCAACTGTTGAAACATCATAAGTTTAGATAAGAGAAGAAAATATCAAAAAGGACCAGGTTATATAGGCGAATCTCTTCTGAGGGTGTGCCTTTCCAAGTTTTAAGAAATCTTTGTAAATGCTAGAGCATTCTCAAATTGATCTTAAAAGTGTGGAGAGACTCAGCCCTGTTATGAATAAAATGAATGTATTTTGCCTACCATTAACTGTGATTTCTTTGTGTTTACCATGCAGTCTGATCTGTGCACTGAATGATGACAACCTAAATAACAAAATTATTTTGCAGAAAGCCCAAATGGAGTCCCCATCTAAAAACAACTCCTTTCATGTAAAAATACTATGTTGGCCTTGGAGGGTGTTGTTTTTCATGCTATGTGTTGTAAATAAGCTCTTTCAGAAATGTATTCATACTATCTTCTCCACATCTCTATTAAAATTCCATCAGAAAACTTTATAAAATGTGTTTGAATATTTCAGACTCCTATATAAAAGAAGAGAAGCTTAATGAAAATGTTTGCTAAAATTCATCTTGCACGTTGGTGTTATGAAATAACACTGTACATATCTTATTTGTATGCTTGTAATCTGCTAAAGGACTAGAAAGGCACTGTGCAAACTTCAAGGCCTCCTAAGCTTTGAGTCAATTGATAAATAAAATATTTTTTTTGCGGGGGGTTGAAGCCTACCATCTGCCTTTCTTTATATATCTAGTTTGCTAATTGCTGAAAATAATGAGAGATGAACAGTTTCGTCACAAACTAAATTACATGTATTCTTGTGCCCTTAATGTAGGGAATGTACCAGGGATGTAGTAGAAATTTCTTGGCATTTAAGCGTGGAGCTGTTTTGAAGAAAAAAGAAGATGGAACACAGCACTTCACAATCAAAGAAAAAAAAAAAGATGTGCAGGTGAAGGACAGAAAGCAAACCTGGTAGCACAAGGGTTGCTTCTCTTTGATATGATCGATGGGAGAAAAATGGGCTTCCTTGTAACTAGAGTAAAGAAAGGTTAGGATGAGCCTTTTCAAAGCCACAAAAGGACTTTAATCTTTCCCTTTCTTACCTTTTTAGTGAATGTTGGTACATCTTAAAGGTGCCTAATTGATGTCTCTGGTTCCAGAAATCCTTTGTTTGTTATTGTGACCCCTAGATTGGACTTCTGTAATGTGCTGTGCTTGGGCTAACGTTAAGCCAGCACCAGAACACCTTTGCTCAGTTTCTGTCATTGGCTTCCAAAGACATAACACACACACATATTCTAGAAGAAATTCAAAGTGTTGACTATGACTTCTGCCCTAAGGATTTTTCCTTTTTTAAAAAAAGCTTGCCTTACACCTTAATAGGAATTAAGCTTGGTTGAGTTGATCTTTTTAACAGACTCAACATCTTATCCTTTAGAAAACTATGGGTAGGACTTTTTCTACGAAGATCTTGTCCATGTGGGACTTTTTGTCTTAGGAACTTTCTGGTTGCTATTTTGATTGGACAGGAACATTATATCTTATTTATTTAGAATGACAATTTTACATTCTTTATTTTAATTGGTTCTCTTACATTTTTCTATGCATTTGTTACACTCATGCTGAATGTGTCTAGTATAAATCAGGATAGCAACATCCCAGGGATTGTGTTGAGTAGAGTGCTACAAAGAAAGATGAAAAATTCTAAAACTTCCACAATATACAATTTGAGAATCTAATTGTATGGGAAGTGATTTTTTTCTCTATGAATGAATGAATGGTTATGCTTTGAATACCCGAGAAAGAACAATGTATTGTTTAAAGTTCTTTCAATGGAAACTTAGGAAAAATAGCCAGCATTCTTGCAACAGAAAGGGTAAATTGGCTCTCGGGGTGATAGGATACTGTCCAAGTGCTTGGACTCAAGATCAGAGCCAGCAAAAGTGACTTTTCTGGACTGCATCTCTCAAGTTTTCCAAGCCAGTATCATAGTTATACAGTTGGGAATGACTGGGGATTGCAGTCCAAAAATGTAGCTCTTCTCAGAACCATGAAACTTACTTCAAGCCTAAGGCAAAACTGCACAACAACTGAACTTCAAAAATTTATGGTTCGTGTATATTAGGCACTGCCAGGTTCCGGGCATGTTCCCTGTCTCAGTCAGGTAGCAAAAAGAGGACATTTATGAAGCTGGGAACACATGTTTGTAGGGATTCATTCTTGCAGACTTTTGAGCCCTGATCTTCCAATTTATCCACCATTTGTATAAGTGCCCTATTAGCTGTAAAGATACCATTGATCTTCATACTATCATTATTTTTTATGGGAGGGGAACATATTTAGCTTGAATTTTAATCCAAGTTGGAAACTTTTCCTTCCCAAATCATGCAAGTATAAAGATCAGTGACATCTAAGATTTTAATCAAAACTGGAGAAAAATGTATTACTCCTTTCTGGAGACAAATAATTGTGTTGTAAATTTCCTCGGAGACAGATAAATAAAATACGATTTCAGAACAGCAAGTTATTTTAACCTTCAGCATGCCCATTTTCCTTATTTTGTTGGACATACTAGCCTTTACAGGCTTGCATGAATGGCTGCTCTTAGTTCTAGTTGGTTAACCTTACATAAACACATCTATAGATAAAGTCCACAAAGTACTGCAGTGTTTAAGGTGCATATCTTGGACGCGATTCCCACAAATTCTTACTGGACCATTTCTATCTTCTAAAGTCCACTTTATAGATGGGATATACATGTTTCTAACAATAAAAGCCTTACTTATTTTTTCTAGCATTGTCTCTTTTGCTTTATAATGAATTGGAGACTCATGCATCTTTGAAAATAAATATGATTGCTAGAATGGTTTTAAATCTGCTTGTTGTCTTTTTCAAAGAAAAAACATTGCATATTTAGTATTTCTGAATTCAAAGACCCCGGAATTACAAAGACATCAAATTTGATTTGCATTAAAAAACATGGCAGGGAATATCCTCCTATCCAAATCTGAGAAAGAAAACCAGCATTTAGGGACCAAAAAGGAGAAAATATCAACTTGCATATTGCATCTCACTGTATGCAAGCATCTCCCATGGGATCTGTTCTGCAGCAATCTTAATTAACTTGTATTCGGTCCCCGTAAGGAGTTGTAGCCATTCCCCATGAATAGAAAATAAAATAAAACAAATCACTACTGCACCGGTATTCCTTCATTTCACATTTAATTTGAATTGAAGTGTTGCTATATCTTGGGTACTATATTGTGGGAGAAATACAAAGTTTAGAAATGCATCTAGGTACATACTGCAATCTAGACTTCAGTCAAGTCCACAGTTTTATGGGTGAAAGCTCTGTTGAACACAGTGGGACTTAATTTGGGATGTGTTGTATCTCCAAAAAAAAAAGCTGAGCATAGATGAATGCACATTCTGCACTTTAAGAATGCTAATTTTTGTAAACGCAATAAAATACTCATTGAAAAGTTATGGTCAGAAATACTCCAAAGAGAAAGTGATATATGATGGACTGGAATTGATTGGATGAGATATATTGGAAGCACAGTTACAAATACAGTTAGCCCTCCATATTTGCTGTGGTGCAGGACCCAACAAACATCGAAAAAACATGAATACAAACTTTTCTTTAACCTGAAAGAACATCTCTTTAGGAATCTCTAGGTTCTTCAGCACAACTCTGTGGCCTAAGTGGAACTGCTCAGTATCTTAGTCTTTTCCCAATAGAAAAACAGTTCACAACCTGATCAAAATAAAATAAGAGATACAGTACAACCCTTATATCTGTGGGAGATGCATTCCCAGACTTTGCATGGATATGTGTGGATAATAGCAAACTATTATTTTCAATGGGACAAATAATGGGGGTACTGAGAAGAGAGCACAGCTTGTACAGGGGGTCCTAATTGAAGAACTGAAAATGTGGGTAAGTGAAAACACAACTATTGGTATCATGGATAATGGGGGTTGTACCATACAATGTGGAGCAGCAGCCCAAGAAAGGTAAATATATGATACATAAATACTTTAAATGAATTCAAGTCTCCAGGGCAAATGAACCACAATACATCCAAGCTCCTGCATGTGTAGAGGGGCTTTGCTTGCTATTCTTCATTAATAACTGTTACCCTCCTGGCCACACTTGGATGTTGCTTGACCAAATATTTGTGAAATGTTTGAGGGTATGGGAATGTGAATCTTCTCTAAACAAACCTTGTTCTCTTATTTATTTCTTACAGGAGTTACACACTTTACAAGACAATATAATCATGCTAGGTTATATTTTTCTCATTTTCTTCCAGATAGTTTTTATTGGTAAATACAGTATGGCCCTCAAATTTACAGGGATCTCTATCAAATTGGAAAATAGTCAACTCTATATTTTGACTATATTTGGGCCAGAACAGCATACTATAGAGTTACACTAGACGACCCACAAAAACTTCTGGAGAAGGTTTTTTTTTTTTTGGAATGTGGATAAGTGAAATCATGAATATTGAATCCATAGATAAGGGGGGCATATTGTTTTGTCCTGTTCTCTCTC